TGCAGACACGGGTCCCTTTCACCAGTCCTGATGACAGTGTCTCCCGCACTGATGCTCAATAGAGACTTTGGTCAGGTGGTCTGGAGACACAACCAGGGCAAGAAGGAGCATGGTCACTGCATTCAGACTCTGCCAAAGTACATTAATCCATGACACCTGAGTGTCAGTTTACAGGGCCAAGGAAAGCCAACTGCCATTCACGATTTGCTTCATAACAATCCTGAGTGTGTATGGGAGTAGGGCCAAGATGATATCTCTGTGTGTGTGTATGTGTGTGTGTGTGGCGCTGTTTGTAGCCTACTGCTATTGCAGTTTAGAGTGGTCACTCACACCCACCACCCCCTGTCACCAATAGTTAGTAAATGCCACTACAGATGTGGCTTTGAGTTGGGAACTGGAAGTTTAAAATAAATAGGATGTCCCCTTTAGCCTTAAGGAACGCACACTATAGAGAAGAAGGGGGACAGACAACCCAGCAAACACCTACAGCACAAAAGGATGCATCTAAAGGCAAGCAGGAGCTGTGGAAGAGTCAGGAAGTCGGAAGGTACCGAGAACTTAACAGAGAGTATTGTGGTTAGATGTTGGGAGGCAGACACTCTGGTACTACGTATTGGTTTTATTCCCTTGTGCAGGCTACTGAACCTACTGGCAGTGTAAAGACGATGAAGATGAAATCAGATAATATATGAAAAGTCCTAACCAAATGCTTGGCATTTGGCATCATTATCATTTTGCATTAAGCCACCATGACAACAGATAGCCAGCGGTTCTCAGGACACCTATTTCATTCATGGCCTGACTGCTCTAAACACTAGATGAAGAGTAGGGAGGTGGTTCTCTGGTGCTTGTGGCCAGGCTGTCCTTGGCATGCTGGAGATCTGTCCCTGGTGGAGACTGGATTTGCAGATCTCCACAGTTACTTCCAAGTGGAAGAGCCTAGGATTTTCTTACCCCTGGAGATGTTTGCCAGAAAAGTCCAAAGGAATGAATTGTTTGGAAGCTTCCAATGGCTCCATTCTCCCTCCCAACTCTTGGATTCTTAGCTTTCCTTCCCAACTGCTCACCACAGTTTGGGGCCCTCAACCTTGGCCTTTGCTCATGCAAACAATAAAAGCTGGCAAGATATTTGTGTATGCAAATGCCTTGGGCATTTCCTTGTGTGGCTGTACCCTCTAAGTCTTGGCCCAGGACTGAGGTTTTGTGAGGCCTGACAAGGAAGTGCAAGCCATCTTCAGTATGAGGAAGTGCCAATGACGCAGATGCTGATGGAAACAGATGGAGATGATGCCAACAGGAAATTACATGGCTACCGGCTGTTGATAACCCAGCACTCAGGGAAGGTCCCAGCAGCTGGCTGGCACCTGTCTGCCAGCCCCACCCTTTTCATACCTGTGCCAGATCTTGGGGATGTTCAGGCTTTTATGGGAGCCTCCTTTGAAGGAGACAGGGCTCAGGGAGGGATTAACCGTAAGCACAGTACATACAAGCTTCCAGTTAGCAAGGTATACGTGGATTTAACTGTGTTTACTTACTTATCTGTAGCACCCAATTTCACATCTTTTATGTGAAACTTTTATGTAGTGCATATGTAAACTTATGCACTACAGATTAGTAAGTAAGCGCAATAAAGACTGTCCATACCTTGCTTATTGGGTAATCCGTCTCTGAGACAGGTAACACGGATCTGGTGTGGCTTTAAACAAGCCAGCACCCTTGATTTCATAGACCTCTTCCTTTCAGCTTCTGGGCAAGCGCTGGGCTCTGCAGCTCCTAGAAGTGCCTCTTCCCTTGTACATTTCCTCTTTAGATGCCCAGCGGCTGGCCAGTGCTCAGTGTCTGTTGCAAGCAGCTCTGATTTAAGGTAGTGCTAGGGAGAAGAAAAGAGGACATTGAGATAGAATCTCACCTTCTGTGAAGAAGAACCAGGTTCAATTTTAGGGCGATTCACCTCAAGTGCTGCCCCACTACCTACCTGTCTGTGAAGGCTTTCGTGCTGCTCTGAGGCTGAACTGACTTCAGGGGAGCTTCCAGACTAGGAATAAAGAGATCACGATCCACTTCTGTAGATCAGCCGCTGAAAGCCCTACAGATGGATCACAATGGTCCAATCTGCAATTGATCCTGGGGATAGTGCAGGACCAGGCAGTATCTTACAATTCCATACCCTCACAGGGCCTTAGAGGGCTTATTTATAACTTGGGAAATAATGAGACATCCCTTAGTACAGCCCTTGGACAAGGGCAGCCAGGCCCTCACCTGAGTCCTGCATTTTTCAACCTTTGCATACCTGAGGGTCTTGTTAGACTACAGCTTCTTTTTGTTTTTTTTAAAAAAAAGAAAGAGACTTTTATTTCAGGGAAGTTTACATGGGTGCGAAGGTGACTACAGCTTCTTGGTCAGTAGGTCAGTAGAGATGTAGCTTGAGATTCTGCATCTCTAACAAGTTCGCTGGGTTGTGGCTTAGTTATCCAGTGGTGCTTTTACAGAAATACCACTAGTGGATAGCTTTAACAATGAGAAATGTACTCTTCTATTGCAGAAATACCACTAGTGGATAGCTTTAACAATGAGAAATTTACTCTCTCTATAACAGAAATATCACTAGTGGATAGCTTTAACGATGAGAAATTTACTCTCTCTATAACAGAAATATCACTAGTGGATGCCTTTAACAATGAGAAATTTACTCTCTCTCAGTTTCTGAGGCTCAAAGTCCAAATTCAGAGTGCCAGCTTGTGGGGAATGCTCTCTGTCGGCTCCGGGGAAAGGTCCTTGTATCCTCTCATCATCTGTAGAAGGTCCAGCGTTCCTTGGAGATCTCCATGTGTCTTGGCATCAGTCTTCCCCTAGACCTAGGAACTTCACAGTGCAGGAATCCCAGGTCCAAAGGACACATTCTATTCCTGACTCTTCTATCTTGGTGGTGGTGTTATTAAGTGCTTTTGAGTCATTTCTGACTCATAGCGACCCTGTGTAGCGTAGTGGTTACGAATCGGGCTGCGAACCTTAAGGTCAGCGGTTCGAAACTACCAGCCACTCCACGGGAGAAAGATGAGGCTTTCTACTCCCGTAAAGATTTACACCCTCAGAAACCCTGTACAGGGTCGCTATGGGTCGGAACCGACTCGATGGCACTTAACAACAACAACAACAATAGAGTTTCCAAGGAGTGGCTGGTGAGTTTGAACTACCAACCTTGTATTTCAAACTGACCTTGTGGTCCAGTGCTTTATCCTACATTGCCACACTAGTTGTTATTGTTGTTAGGTGCCATCAAGTTGGGTCCAACCTATAGTGGCCCTGTCTAGGGTTTCCAAGGAGCAGCTGGTCGGTTTGTGAACATACCAGTAGTGGGTTCCTTTTCCTCTAATCAAGTCTCTCTCCTTTGATCTCTCGTCAAAGCAAAGGTATTATATGTCACACCCTTGGGAATATCTCATAAATCAGATCAGGGTGGTGGTGGAATTAAGGGTGGTATATTTCACGCTTACTCCTCTGACTGGTTCATCACATCAGATCCTTTCATGGGGGTTAGCTACACGGACACTGTCAAACCACCGAGAATCCTGGCCCGATCATAACGATGACACTACAGTTGCTCTTGCTGCTGCCTGGACCACACACGAGCAGTGAGGCTTTACAAGGCTTCTGTGGGGATGAAACAAGCAGATGTGCATCCCCGTGGCTGAAAGAGTACCTCCTCGGTGGAGGGAGCTCAGAGCATGGCTGTGCTCCCCAAAGTTTCAGGTAGAGAGTCATCAGTGGGGGAAAGGCATGTCCATCAAACTATGAGGACATAGTGGTAGGGTCCCTGGAAGACTGAGCTGGGAGTGACCAGAAGTGTCTAGACAGCTGCCAGCACCTCTAAACCACCTTATTGTTAAGTGCTGTTGAGTCGGTGCCGACTCATAGTGACCCTGTGTACGGTTTCTGAGGAGCGTCTGGTGAGTTTGAGCTGTCGACCTTGCAGTTCGAACCGACCTTGCAGTCAAGTACTTTACCCTTCAGCGCCACACCAGGACTCCCTAAACCACCTGGAGGCTCTTAAATAAGTTACACCTGCTCCCAGCACCACCTGGAAAACTTACTGAACTAGAAAATCTTGGCGCGGACCCCTACACTGATAATTTTTTTTTTTTAAAGTGTCCTAGCTTTTGAGGAGTCCTGGGGTGGTGCTGTGGGTTAATGCGTTGGACTGCAAGGTCGGTTTGAACTGCGAGGTGGGCAGTTCAAATTCACCAGCCGTTCCTCAGAAACCTAATACAGGGTCGCTATGAGTTTGAACCAACTCCACAGCACTTAATAACAACAACAAGATGCTTTTGAAAGGAGTCCTGGTGCCACAGTGGTTAAAGAGCTCAGCTGCTAGCCATAAGGTTGGCAGTTCAAACCCACCAGCCACTCTGAAGGAGAACGATGAGGCGCAGTCTGCTTTGTAAAGATTACAGTGTTGGAAGCCCTATGAGGCGATTCTACTTTTGTCACACAAAGTCGCTAAGCTGGACTTGACTTGATGGCATTAGGTAGGGGGTTTTGATGCTATGTGGGGAAAAACCATCATTGGATGGACTACTGGATCTGGTCCAAACCCTCATTTTGGAGATGAAGAGACTGAAATCTAGAGAGGTAAAGTGATGTCCCTAAGTCATGCAATTAGTCTTTTCAGTTGTCCATTCACTCATTCGAGATGTTTACTGAACACCTACTATGTGCCAAGCATTATGCTGAGTTCTGAGGGGGACCCAGTGGTGAAACATCTGATCCCGTTTCCTACTCCTTGGAGGATCCAGACATCAGATATGGACCCTGCAAAAGGCAGCCGAGGTGGCTGCAGTCAGGCCGCAAAGGATGTGTGCAAGTGGCCTCATCTCGGATGGACAGCCACCTGCTTTGCTCACCCTTCTCTGCTGTTGCTCTCCAACTTCTGGGGTCAAGCGTACCCTCCCTCACCTTAAGTCAGGCCTTCTCTAACTCACTACTCTCTGTTCTGTCTCCAGCAAACGGGCCCCATCAGTGCCACCCTGGTGATGACCCGTCCCATCAAAGGGCCCCGGGAGATTCAGCTGGATTTGGAAATGATCACCGTCAACACAGTCATCAACTTCAGAGGCAGCTCCGTGATCCGACTGCGGGTATACGTGTCGCAGTATCCCTTCTGAGCCCTGAGTCAGGGCCTCGGACACTGCTTCTCACTAGCACCAAGGGACAGGAGAAGAGAGACGCACGAGAGAATGAGAGCAAGACAGACATTACTCCTTACCTGCTGACCAGTTTCCTGATGGGTCGGCCACCGCAACCTGACCCCCACCTGTATTATGGTAGATGGTCACTCTGAAGGACATGCTGCCCCAGTTCTACGATGCAGTAATCCCAAAGTATTATCATTGGCCCCTGATGTGAGATCATTGGTGATTTTTGAAGGCCTTGAGATCATTTTCATATATATATTTTTTAATCCAAGAAAATAGATTAAGTTTTCTGGGGTATGAGTTTATGTTCAAAGACTGTGAACAGCTTTTGCTCACCTCGTCCACGCCGTCTTTCTATCTCTCGCTGTGTTGCTGCTTTGCCAAAACCCAGAGAGCGCTTGAGGCGGCACACTGGGTGTAGCTAGTTGCTTCTGCGTGTATGGAGAAGACGATAGATACAAACCACAGCAGGATCTAAGGGTTTTTAAAGAGTCTATTTCAAAACCGTATCTGGTGTTTTCAGCCATAAAAGAAGTTTTAATTGTCCTTAAATTTATATCACTGTTTAATCCTTTCTTGTTCGTTTGAGCTTTATTATTATTATTATTATTATTAATAAGTGATAGAATGCCTTCAAAAGACCTTCAGATATGTTATGTTCTGTCTTCCCAAACCCAGTCTCCTCTCCATTTCAGTCTGGTGTTTTCGTCGAGAACACCTTCATCATACTTTCTTCAACATTTTTACCCAACTGGGTTGGAAGGCAGAGGTCTCCAAATTGATTAAATATTTGAAGAGATCTTACTTTACGTTTGCTTCATTTTGACATTGTAGATGATTCACCAGGTGGGGATTGATCCAGACTCTGTTTAAACCTGGTGGTTCTAGGCTGACTTGGGAAGTTCTCCAGAGAGTTAGATTGTCATTTATGACTCAGGCAAATTGATGTGGGCAGGGGGTGTGTGCCCCTAAAAATGGAGGTGGTGGTGAAGTTAGGAGGAGGCATCTACCCTGAGTCCTATTCATTCCATTTCAAACCACTAACCATCCCTCCAGTCTATGGATCGGAATTCCCAGGCATTCTTCCGTATGTTATGTACTCAAGTTACTTTAAACCAGTGGGCCTCGACCCTTTCTTCAAAATGCTGCTTTGGAAAAAAACACATGGATTCCCTGGACTTCTCCCACAGAGGTTCTGATTCAGTTGGTCTGGGATAGGGTGCTGGCATTGGGATTTAAAAAAATTGTAATGATCAGTCAGAGCTAATAAACCCTATAAGACAGGGACCAATGTAGCCCTAGCCCTGAATCCTTACTCTCAATAGCCTTTCAGTTAATTGTAGGGCTTATCAGCCTTTTCCTGATCAGAGACATTTGATTTCCTCTAAGACAATCCCAGAGAAGGGCACAGAGCCTACAAGTGCAAGTCACCAATTTGCCAGGTGGGGTCGCTGCCCTATGTGCCACCCCAGGAATTGACCTGTGTCTTCAGAAGGAGAGAATGCACTCAGGTGTGATGCTCCCAATCTATCTGCTGATTAAAGACTTATCCTGGGTGGTGCAAACGGCTAACATGCTGGGCTGCTAATCAAATGGTTAGAAGTTCAAGTCTACCCTGAGGTACCTTGGAAGAAAGGTCTGGCAATCTACTGCCCAAAAGTCAAGCATTGGTAACTCTCTGATACACACAGTTGGACTCTGATACATATGGGTCACCTTGAGTTAGTCAACTTGACGGTAACTGATTGGACGGTTGTGTGCCGGGCCTGGTGCCTGGGCCTCCTAGGGCTAATGGGCGTTTCATTGATCCTTAAGAGCTGGTTCTTCCTGGAGGGAAGAGCCCCTGCAACATCCCAATGCGGTGGGCTTGTCTTCCTCCCCCAGGGAGCTTTCTGAACACCACACACCTAATCTTGCTGGTGGTTTTCTCTCTTAACTACAACTAATAAAAAAAACAAAAACTGCCATCAAATGGATTCATAGTGGCCCAATACGGAAGCCTGTAAATCTATACCAGAGCACACAGCCTTATCTTTCTTCTGCGGAGCAGCTGGTAGGTTTGAACCACAGACTTTGCAATTAGCAGCCCAATACTTATCCGACAATGCCACCAGGACTCTGTTAACAACAACTAAGCATCTCCAAACAGCTCCTACATTCAGGTTCGAGTAATAGTCACACTAACATTCATGGCAAATGGCTCAGATGCCCACCTTCCTAGCTCAGAAGACACAATCATTCCCCCACAGCGTGGCCAGTGTACGGGCCCAGCTCACTCTCCACAGAGCAAAGACCAGGAGGTCTCCCAGAGTCTGGGGCTACCCTTGGATGGGGGGGCCAAAGTGTCAAGGCTGGGTGGGGCATCAGCCCCCTACCCTCACTTGCTGACTCAACACAACACCAGGGTCAGGTCTCCTTGAACTTCTGAGAAAGAAAGAAGGGAAGTGTTGTCTTGGGGACTTGAAGGCTCACTGGTTTCGGAGGTGCCACTTTTGGAACCAGACCCAAGTCTCTAGGGCTTGCGTTTTATTTGCTCATGTCAAAATGTGGCTTCCTGCTTCTAAGAAAAAAAGGCACCGTGAGTCTCGTAAAAGCAGCTCAAATGGCTTCTTGGACCTCAGAGGGCGCTTTCAAAATATGCCCGATGAGTTCAGTGTAAATGAATCAGAAGCATGTGGAATCAATTTTCCTTAAAATACACTGGGGCTTAAAATTAAGGGGAAAACAGCCCAGGACACAGTGTGTGCTATAAGGCCAAACCCAAAGCATTTGGGAAGTAGTTCCCAAGGCTCCCAGAACCTAAAGAGTTGTTTGCTTCAGCCACCCTTTGAGAATCATGGGATGCACTCATTTTCAGAAGATTGGGGATAAGCCTGCTCTTTGAATCAAAAGCTTTGTGCTCCAACGTGGACTCTGATGGGGGTGGCTGTTCCCTCGAACCCTAAGACATCTGGGCTCTCCCTGCCTGTCCCTGGTCAGTTTTGCCCCATCCAGCAGTCCAGCCAAGAGTTTGTCAAGTGAACCTGCTCTGTATTCCTCCCTTCAACTGTGAAGAATGAAGGATACTGTGGTGTATGGGCCCCGGATTAAGACTTGAGACACCTGTAAAAAGCCTTGTAGTTACCACATAATCTCCTGGAATCACTAGGAATGAAAACTTCCATTCAGTTCCTTCTCATCCACAACTTCTGTGATTCCTTGGAATGGATTTGGGAATGACAGCCAGCATTTCCATTAAACTGCATTTTTAGAGTTTCACAGTGCTCTGCCAATCATAACACTTTCCAGTTGGCACAGGCCCTACCTACCTGCTGCCTCTCAGGCTTTGGGGACAGACTTTAAAACATTTCTTAGGGAACAGCCTTGGCTCTCAGAGAGTTGTTTTTCCAGATGGTGAATACATTTAAGTAGGTTTGATGGCTTTGTTTTCAGTGGTTCTGATGTATTTTGGGGGCCATGGTATTTCATGTGCACAAGCTGTTCATCTTGAGTCTTTGGGAATAGAAAATGACAAAGAAACCATTATTCTTCCCTCAGCTCTTACCAGAGGCAATCCTGCCTGTGGAAGGCCTTTGCTTGAAGGGAGAAACATTTTTTTGCCAAGTGCTGGACCCAGAGAGAGGCACAAGATAGATATAGTCCACAGACGACATGTGCTGTCCGAAGGTTTTGGCACACACTAGCCGCTCCAAGGGAGGAAGATGAGGCAGTCTGCTCTCATAAGGATGTAGATCCTCAGAAGCCCCATGGAGCATTTTACTCTGTTCTGAGTCAGAATCAACTCGATGGCTGTAGGTGGCTGGTGATGAGTTAAAAACACAACACAATAGGAGACTTGCATTTAGCAGTGGACAAAATTATTTTGGTAAGCATGATTTGGTAAGCACTGTGGTAAGCATCTATAAGGATCTTGATGTGATGCTGTAGGATAAACACCGGACTGTTTACCATAAGCTTGGCAATTCAAACCTACTAACCATTCCTCAGGAAAACAATGAAGATTTTTCTGCTCCCATGAAGATTTACAGCCTCGGAAACCATTTCGCTACGGTTCAGATTCGAGTCTATAGCACACAACAACAAACGCTAATCAGGATTTGGGCATATGAGTAGGAATTGACTCGCGAACAGTGGGTTGGGTTTGGTTTGGTTTGGGTAGTATATAAAGAACAAATTATCTTCTCTATCAACATTCTTCATGTGTATGATTCAGTGACATTAATGATGTATATTGTTTCATAACCATCACCATTATTCATTTCCAAATTTTCCCATTACTCTAATAGAAGGAAACCCAGTGTCCCCAAAGCAATGCGTCCTCCTTTTCCCTTTGTGCCCCTTCCTTCCTAGTAACCACTAAAAACCTTTGGTCTCTATACACTTGCCTATTCTAGGTATTCCATCTAGATGAGCTCATATCGCCGTTGTTCCTCTGTGACGGATTGACGTCACTCAATGAAATGTTTAAAAAATTCATCCCGGTTATATCAGGATTTCATTTTCATTTGTCTTTGTTGTTGTTGTTAAGTGCTGTTGAGTCGACTCCTAGTGACCCTGCATATGGTTTCCGAGGAGCGGCTGGTGAATTTGAACCATCAACCTTTTGGTTCAAACCGACCTTATTGGTTGAGTGCTTATCCTACAGCACCACACCAAGTCTCCCTTTTCACTTCACTTTAATGTTATTGTTGTTAAGTGCTGAGTCGGTTCTGACTCATAGCAACCCTCTATAGGGTTTCCAAAGAGCAGCTGGTGAGCTTGAACCACCGACTCTGCAGTTCAAATGACTTTGCAGTCTGACACATTAGTCCACAGCACCACACCAAGAGTCCACAGGGCCTGCTAAATTTAATTCATTAATGCCATACATGTTGCTGCTGTTAAGTACTGTGTACTCTGTTCCAATTTGTATCAACTCTCTATAGGATTTTGGAAGCTTTTAAAAATAATTGCGGGAGCAGAAAGCCTTATGGTTCTCACACAGAGCAGTGGTGGGTGTAATTTACAGTCCAGTGCTTGTCCTATAGTTGTTGTTGTTGTTAAGTGCTGTTGAGTTGGTTCTGACCCATGGTGATCAGCTATTGAGTTTCTGAGGAATGGTTAGTGACCTTGAGCTGCCGACCTTGCGGTTCAAATGATTTAACAGACCACCACATTAACCCACAGTGCCACACCAGGACTCCTACAGAGCTACTTCCAAAATTAAAACACTGAC